GAATAGAATAGAATAGAATAGAATAGAATAGAATAGAATAGAATAGAATAGAATAGAAGCTGGAAGGGATCTTGGAGATCTTCTAGTCCAGCCCTCTGCTCAAGCAGCAGAACCTTTACTATCTCAGACAAGTGACTATCCAGCCTCTTCTTAAAAACCTCTCGTGATGTAATGCCCACGATTTCTGGAGGCAAGCTGTTCCACTAGTTAATTGTTCTCACTGTTAGGAAATTTCTCCTTTTTTCTTTACAAGATGTATATACATGTGTGTATATGTGTGCATGTGTAGACAAAGTTGAATTTTGATATACAAAGGTAAAGTATGAAAATATGCAGGCATAAGAAGCAATCCTTTTTACAGAATAATCCTTTCTTACCACCTTACAGATTTTAAAGCTATCTGTGTAATGAATGTTGTAATCGTGCAATTGGTGGTGTACAGGTAGACCTCAATTTACAACCACAGTTGATCCCAAAATTTCCATTGCTAAGCAAGGTGGTTGTTGAGTGAGTTTTGTCCCCTTTTTCGATCTTCCTTGCCACACTTGTTAAATGAATCACTGCAGTTGTTAAGTGACCCATGTGGTCATTAAAGTGAACCTGACTTCCCCCTTGACTTTGCTTCTCAGAAGATTGCCAAAGGTGATCACATGGCCTCGGGAAACTGCAACTGTCATAAATACATGCCAGTTGCCAAGCATCCAAATTTTGATCACATGGCCATGGGAATACTGCAGTGGTCATAAGTGTGAAAAAAGGTTACTTTTTTTCAGTGCTGTGGTCACCTTGAATACTAAAAAATGGCTGTAAGTCAAGGGGCTACCTGTACTCACTTTAGAAATAGCTGCTGAGGGCAGAAGCTTTTTTAATTGCCGTACTATTTTTTTCTTCCCTCAATTTGTTAGGTTTCTCCATGAGTTTATTATTAAGTCTGTCACTGCATTATTTTATTGTTTTCCTAGTCATTCATAAAGGGGATGCCATGGCTCAGTGGCTAAGGCACTGAGCTTGTCAATCAGAAAGGTCAGCAGTTCGGCGGTTCAAATACCTAGCACCATGTAACGGAATGAGCTCCTGTTCGAACCTAGCAGTTCGAAAGCATGTAAAAATGCAAGTAGAAAAATAGGGACCACTTTGGTGGGAAGGTAGCAGCATTCTGTGCACCTTTGGCATTTAGTCATGCCAGCCACATGACCATGGAGATGTCTTTGGACAGCGCTGGCTCTTCGGCTTTGTAACTGAGATGAACACCACCCCCTAGAGCTGGAAATGACTAACATGTATGCATGAGGGGAATCTTTACCTTTACCTTTAGTCATTCATAGCTGAGTATTATCATAGCACTCACATTAACTATACTTCTAAAAAATATTACAGGTCATAATAAGTAGTGACTCAGTTGAAGGGGCATTCCTGCCTCTTCAAAGTAGTCAATGACCTATTGGAAATAGTCAGGAGCACTCAATGTAATATGAAAAAGTATGTTTAGAAAGTAGGAAGTAGAACAGAAATTGAGCCCATCTGGCACTAGTGAATAGATATAAAGACAATGGTGGCTATTCGAACTACTATTTGCCTGTTTTGCCCATATCTTTTATATTAACTATAAGATAAAACATCATCAAGACACCAATACCCCCTTCCCCCCCCAAAAAAAGGAACCTTGAGTAAATACTGCATCCCTAAAATTCCAGGCAAAAAAAAGGGGGGGGCTTGTACAAATATTGTGACATAAATGACACTCTGTATTTCTCATGCATTCTGATCAGGATCCAGTTACCTTACAATGGACCTGGATTTGAAATAGAGAACTTTTTCAACTATATTAAAATGGAAAGTAAAATTGGCTTAACCCTCATGTGGAATAAAGAAGACAGTCTAATGGTAAGTATATAATGATGCAGAACTGATAAATGTGAGCTGAAATAAAATAGGGATGGATGGATGGAATTTAGTTTCAGATGCCAGCTTCTTTCAAAATATTCTATGCCTATACACTTTCTGCATTCTGTGATTTCTGATCACTCTCGCTTTTAGAGCTCACTTCCCAAATAGAGAGACACAGAGAGACAACTGAAGTTAAGCTATCTTTATGTTTGATTCAGAATTCCCAATAGTGTTAAAAGCCATAGCCAAGTGGCCAATAATCATATTGTACAACCATTGAAAACAACACTAGCTGCTTACTGTGGCAAGGCTTTGCTTATGATGCATAAATAAGGCCACACATTACAACCACATACGTCACAAATCATCCCTCTCAATACAGATATGATGACTAAAATTCAAAAGTCAAGTTTATTTGCAAGGATTTCCTCTCAGAAATGGCAGTTACATACTGAAATGTTCTCCCTTGCTGCCTGAGGGAGCTTCATTTCATCTTTCAAATCAGGGGTGGGCTGCTATGGGTTCGGGAGAACCTGTAGTTAACATTATAGCTGCTTTGGCAAACTGCCAAATCCCACCCCTGGCTGTCCCCCACCTACCTCACCCCACCCCTCCCAGGAGTCTTCACACAGCCCATTTTGGATGCGAGGTAAGTGCAGAGCCTGTGCAGAGGCTTGGGGAAGGTGAAAAATGGGCCTCCTGGAAGTTCCAGCCTCTGGAGGGCCTCCGGAGCCCAGGGAGGGCGAAAACACCCCATCCCCGCCATGGTGCAGGAGTCTGACTAGGCCACGCCCACCAGAGAATCCATTACTGAATTTTTCGAAGCCCACCCTGATTCAAATGGGGTAATAATGAAAAGAGATGGCTAAGCTGGAATGATAACTCTACATCTAAGTTCAAATTTAATGTATCAAGCAAAGAGATGGCTCAAATTAAGAATTAATCAATTAGCAAACCAAGGTAATATAATAATTAAATTAAGACTTCAGTTGGGGAGTCCTGGGTTTAATCTCCATTGAAACATGGCCGAGGCAATCATTCTTCCTTTCTGGTTGATCTATCTTACAAATTGTTCTTATAGGATAAGCTTAAAGAATGATCCTCTATATAACACCTTGAGTTCTCAGAGAAAAAGTAGTATATAAATGCAATAAAATAAGACAATGAGTAGAAACACAAACCAAAGTAATACTTGTTCCTCCTTTAAACTTCTCAGTTAGCTATAAAGACAAGGAATGTTCTTTCAAATGTTCTTGTTGCCATTAATGATCCTAGATAATGGTCCTTTATTTATTTCATACTGAACTAAGCTACCAAGCATGTTTCTACACCTGACATTTGATTTCAATTTTTAAAGATAAAAGCACATTTAGATTATATATTTTGCATATACACAAGTCTGTAATCTCAAATTTTATTGTGTGGTAATTTATTAATTTCATCTTATTTGGAAAATTTGGGGTTTGGGGATGTTTCCCTCAAAAGGACAGAAATGATAAGGGAAACATGGGGATTGCTTTTGTTAGGACTCGTACAATGAAAATGAGGTTGTTATGAATAATATTGAGCCTGTGACTCACAAAGGAAACCCCAATTTTCTATCCAATAAATTCACTTTGGATCGTTGAAACGTAACTTTGATACACACTATTTTGGTTTATCTAGTGCAAGCATTGTCTTGAATTTCTAATATTTATTAGGGAGAGTTAATCTACTACATGTTATCAACCTTCTCAAATGTAATTTCAGCTGGAACTTGATAAAAAATATGCCAATAGTACCTGTGGACTTTGTGGAGATTTTAATGGCATTTCAAAATACAAAGAATTTTATTTTGAGAGTAAGTATATATAAAAAAGCTTATTGAATTTTTTTATCACAGTTTATCCCTCTTTACACAATGAATGCTACAGAAGAATACTCTACTTTTTCTTAATCCTGATTTTTCAATAAAGTGGAATAGCAGAAAAACCTTTTTTCCTCAATATTTTGATCATTAGTATTAACAACCTGGTAATTTTGCTTCATACCTGTCATACTTCACTTTTTATGTCTTGGATGAGTATTAGGTTGCATATTAACCAAATCAAAGAAATTCTCAAACTTTAAATGTTCTCAAATTTAGAATTAGTATTTTAATCACCTTGTTCTCTGACTTAAGAATATCAAATCATTTATTATTACAAAATGATATGTAGATATTTTATTATTTTAAGTTTGAAAGATGCAACTGTATGACATTTGGGACTAAAACAAGATACTTTTTCCTCTTTAACCACAATATCAGGGTCATAAATTGTACTGAAAAGTTAAACAAAAACAAAAAGAATTCCTATATTATTCAGTGGCAAAGTACTTCTATAGTGGTGTCAAGAAAAACTGCACAATGTCTATGTAATTACCAGGAATTAATCTTAACTCGGGAGTGTCTCTTCATTTTTCCCATCTCCCCTTATTAAATCACCTCATACTTTATGTAGAGACAGATTCTGAGAGGTCTACATCAATATAATTTCATATGAAAAATTTATATCAGGAAACAACAACTGAATGAAAAACTTCTGGTGACCTTCTACCATTACACTATACAGAGTATTTTGACTTGCACCTATGTATGGTTTGCCAATTGCACAGTGGCAGATAGGACAGCACTCCAGAGGGTTTAACATCATTGCCCAGAGGATCATTGGTTGCCCTCTCCCCTCTTTGGAAGGGCTTTATACACTCCCGCTGCCTTGAGAAAGTTCAAAACATTCTTAAAATCCATCTCATTCTGGGCACCCTTTTTTTGAAATATTACCATCTGGCAGACTGTACAGGATAATAAAAACAAGGACAAATAGGCTGAAAAACAGCTTCTATCCCAGGGCAGTAACTATATTGAATTCTACTTTATAGTGAAACGGTAATGCAATATCAGGGGTTTTCAATTCAATTGTATAGAATGTGAAAGATGTATGTTTTTGTTTTATTTTTATAGTTGTAATGTACACTGAAGATGGCATTTAAGTTTGTTGTATGAAGTGTAATGACAATAAAGTAAACTAACTAATATTCTCTCTTATGTATGAAAGTTGAGGTGCTACAAACAAGAAAGAGCTCTTTAATTTAATGGGATTGAATTTAGATTAATTGTGCTTTTCTGGAAGCCATACAGACCTTTAGATCTTGATCAACTTTCATAGCTAATTTTACATGGCTTTTCTGAAAGGAAATCTTAGACAGAGGTACTACTAGCATACAAATCTCTATTATGACTTTATTTTTTGAAGATACCCCCATAACAGACTTCCAGTTTGGGAATCAATGGAAGGTGAATGATCCAACAGAAGATTGTGAGGATCCTATACCACCTCCTCAGAAGAATTGCACTGATGAATATGTGAGAATGTTCTTTCTTGTTCTTCTGCTTTGCATTTTTCTAATTTGCAAAAGGATTCTAGAATCTTACATTTAATATGTACTAGTTGCCATTTCATTAAAAACAATTGATTCTCTCTCAGTCCACCCCACAGCTATATTATTATAATATTGTGTGATGGAAGGTAGAGAGGATCTGAATTTCCAAGAGGGTAAGGATACATTCCAAAGGAATAAGAGGCAAACTCAGTCTAGATGTTATGAATGAGAAGAAGAGAGTGAAGACAGCTCTGCTTTAATAGTTCTCAGAGTATATTGTAGATGCAGATTAGTAGATTGCTCAGTCTGGCAAGATTTTACCTATGTATGAAACATACATAAAGAATTCAGCTTGGAAGAATTATGAAGTATTGATCTTGGTTTGGGGTCTGACATTTTAGGTTGGAATCTAACTTTGGAGGAAGGGCTTACGTTACTATGTAAAATATCTAATCTAATATCTAATACAAGCATGAAAAATGAGGGCTGTGTTTTTTTTAAGGGAAAGCCCCCATTTTAGAAAGAAATTGTTTCATAAAATCTTTTGCCTTTTGTTTTTCCATCTAGGATATTTGTCGGAAAATACTAACTGGTTCTGCATTTATTGAATGTAATGATATTGTCAATGTGAATAGCTACATTGATGCTTGTGTACATGACATGTGTCTCTGTAATGAAGTTGAAAAATCCTCCTGCCTCTGTGAAACTTTCACTGAATACTCTCGACAATGTGCTCATGCGGGTGGCCAACCTCAAAACTGGAGAAGTCTAGAACTATGCCGTAAGTATAAACAAGTGACCAAAGTAATTTGACTCTAATCTCTCCCTCTAGCTAGACTATGGGTGTCAAACTTGTGGTGTCATGTTGCTGTCATGTGACGTTTCACGAAGTTTTTTCCCTGGGGTGGGCGTGCTCTGCACACGACACATCTAGCCCGCAGGCTGCCAGTTTGACTCCCCTGTTCTAGACTTCATCAGGATTCTTGATTCAGATTCTTTTTCTAGTTGAAAGTATGGAAATGAAAGAGTGCTGCCAAAACAAGAAACTATGAAATTGGAAGGTTGAAAATATACGAGTTAATAGATTTCTACTTGCAACAGAAAACAATGAATAAATATTACATTACAAATAAAAGATTATTTTATTTTAAAAGATCTCTGTACTAGTTTTAGAGTTATGAACAGCTTGAAGGATCAGAGAAGATGCAAGTCTTACCTTCCCAGACAAACACAGTTGAAAGGAACTGGGAAAGTCACAAAGATTACAAACATAATCATTCTTTAAAAATATTAAAACATATTAGCCCTATTCTTTAAGCAATGAGATGAAGAAAGGAACTGGATGAACAATTGGATGTGTGCTTGTGTGTGACAAGCTGTGCTTTTTCTGCTCAGTTATTCAGCTAAAATGAGAAACAGCTGAACTGGGTTATCAATCACTGAGGAATCATGTTCTCACTTATACCATTTCTGCTTTCAAGAAGTCTTGAACAACGAAGCATCAAAGGAAAAGGAGAGAAAAATCCACAGAGATATCTTCTCTATGTGCGTGTCCATCAAAAAATAATAATGGATTTATATAAATTATAAACTATTTGGCTAGATTGGCAAGCATTCATAAATAAAGAACATGAAATATATGCAAAAAACAAGAGACAGGTGGTAGGATGTGCTGTGAGTAACCACTTTAGTTTAAAAATGATTTCTGAAAACATAATGGATTTCATTCAAAACAGTTAATTATGAACGGCAGTTGCTACTTGGAGTTGCATCCTGTATTACTGCAATATGTTCTACTTGGGGACACCTCAGGAGACTATCCAAGTGCTGATAGTTTATAAAATACAGTGGCCTACCTGTTACCTGACACATGTCCCCAAGAAGCATTTTACCTGTGCTGTGACCCCTGCATTGGCTTCAAGTAGCAAGTGGCTTTCAAGCACAAATTGAAGTGCTAGTTTTGCTGTATTAAGACCTATATTTTTGGCACTTACATATTCTCAGAATTCTATTCTTCAGGCTGGATTGAATGTACCAAGAGAAACTATATAGGTTCTCCCCATACAGTAAGGGGGACTGAAACACTGAGGGGCTATTTTTCCATGGCAGCATCAAGCAATTCAAATGATGCTGAAAACCAAGCTCTTCCGCAGAGTTTTTGTAGTATGAGCGACCACTATGTGAATTTTTGCTATTTATTGATTTTGGTTGGGATATGATGATGATGATGATGATGATGATGATGATGATGATGATGATGAT